CTGCTGCTGCTCGGCGTGGCGCTCCAGGTCGTCCTGCCCAAGTGACGCGAGGGGCAGCCGGTGCGGCTGGTCCGCCCCGCACCCACCGCCCTGGAGGTGGCACGTGGCTGTTGCTTTCCGATGATCTCTTTTTTATATTTAAACCATGAGGTAGTGCTGGGTCACTGCCAAGGTTGCCTACTGGAGTTTTTTGGCTTTTGTTTTTTTTTAAGAGAAATGAATTCCTTGTCCCTCTGTGGCCGTTACTGGTTAGTGGCCTGTCCCCAGGCCTGGCCAGGCCTCGCTCTCCTCCTGGTCCCGGCCCTCTGGGAGGTGGCCTGTCCCTGAGAAGGACCCCTCCTCTCCAGGATCGGTCATCGTGGCAGGCAGCGGGAGGCAGTGCGGGTCACACCTCCATGTCCGGGATCCCCACAGCAAGAGAGTCTGCTGGAATGGATTTTGGTGGGGTGGAGAGAGCTGAATAAATGTTGGTTTTCCAAGTGGTCTCTGGTCCTTCCTGGCGGTTTGCAGCCTCAGTGTCTGCCCCGCCCAGTCTGCTCCATGAGGGCAGGTGTGCTTCCTGAAACCTGTTTTCACACAGCCTCGGGCTTGTCCCTGCACCTGAGAACCCCAAAGGCCATCATGATGTTGGCCTGACATGTGATGTAAGGTTTGCAAGGTTTACCTTCCTTGCCCTGGTCCCTGGAATCCACCATTAGGGATTATTTCCTTTGGACTGTTGAGTCCCTCTAACGGGGCTGCCTGTCTCCACACAGATGCTCATCTAGCACTCACTCCAGGAAGGGTGCGATGCTAGGAGCTGCTCACAGTGGAGGGTCTGACAGAGAGGAGGGCCCGGCCAGTGGTGCGTCCAGCCTCTCCGCTCGGGGAGCCTGGGGTTCTTTTAAGATCAAGAAGAGGGAGCAGGGAAGACACAGTTGATGGCCATGTCCTCCCAGCAGGCACCTCCGGCGAGATGCCCTGCTCCCCCCCAGGGGCTGCAGGGTCCCGGCTTGCCTGGGTCTCAGAGGAGCCCACTTTGCCAGGCTCTGGGAATACGATGAACAAGACCTGGTCCCTGCCTTAGAGGCTCCTGTTCCAGTCGGGGAGGCAAAACTGCACACACGAGTAAGCTAGGTATATGGTGAGGCCCGTTTAGGAGGCAGCAAAGGGCAGAGAAGTGACTGGCTCGGGGTGGGGGTGGAACAGTGATGGCAGGCCCCTGAGAAGGAACCATCCTGTCTGCATTAACAGCATGTGCAAAGCTCCTGGGGCAGAAGACAGGCCAAAGCCTCCGCAGAGAGGCCTGTGACCACAGGGTGGGGCGTGGTGTGGGCGGAGCGCAGGGTGGGGCGTGGCCGTGGGCAGAGCAAGCCTGGAGGTGGAGTGATGGACCCAGCAACCAGCTTGGGGCTGATGCCCTGGGGAGGGGTTGGCCTGAGCCCCAGAACTCCTCCAGGGGGAAGGCGGGGTGGGGGTCTCTGAGGCCACACTGGCAGATCCAGCCAGAAGAGGGAGATGGGGGAGTAGCCCTTCCCCACCTGGGTGTGTAGGAGGCTGGCTGGTCAACCCCAGGGGCCTTGATGTGCTGTCCACGGCCTTGACACCCACACACTCAAGGTGACAGCCTTGACTTCCCCAGAGCCAAGGGACCTGCTGTCACGCGACGCCAGCACTTCACTGGTATTACCTGAGACAGTTCATCCCACAGGTAAGAAACTGAGGCTCAGAGACCACAGTGGCCCAAGCACAAGGGACCCTCCGATCCTGATCCAATGGGGATCCCCTGACCACCACGGTCCAGCGCAGCCGCCGTCAGGCAGGTGGGACGCTGGGGGCCCCCGTGGGGACAGGGCTGCTGAGGTCACTCGGCCAGTCAGGCCCGTCTCTGCTCCGCCCGGCACAGCTTCCACAGCGTACCCCCCAGAGCCCTGTAAGCCACCTTCCAGACGCAGAGCCCGCAGGAGCTCTGGGCAGGAAGGGGGCCCTCTCGTCACCATCCTGTAGCGAGGCAGAACCTGGACTCCCCAACTCTGGCCCCTCCCAGGTGTGCCTGCACTTCTGCAGAAACGACAGCTTTCTGGATGCTTCCTGGAGATGGCACCACGCACCTTTGCTATTTCCTCCCTGCAGCTTGGACTGTGGACGGACCCACAAGGGAACCATCTCAGACCCCAAGGGAAAGGTGGGCAGCACTCAGGACAGTACCTCGAATTCCCACCAGACTCTCACGTGACAGACATTTCCCCGACTTGGAGCCTTTCCTCCTCAGAGGCAACCACAGCCCTGTGGCCCCAACCTGCCTGCAGCAGCCAAAACCAGAGCCTCCAAGACTGCTGGGGGCCACACAGCCCTCCGCGAAGGGCCTCCAAATGAAGCCGGGAAAGCATCTCTACAAAACACAGCTTCTCTGTGAATGTTTGAAAAGTTGTGAAAGAAAGTTTTAAGAAACCATTCTTTTCAAAACTCAAAATCATGAAAAAAGACCAGGTTTACTGGTCTCATAGAGCCTGGTGAGACTCTGACCCTGACCAAGATGATGGCCCCTCGTCACCCTTCAGGTCTGGAATTGAACCCCATGGCTTCCAGCCAAACAACAGACAGGCACATGGGGTGAACATTTACATCAAGGAGATACACTCTTGGAAGCACACTCAACGGAAGCAGCAGTCAGGATATTAGACGACGTGTAGCACTGGGAAGGTCAACCGCGAAGGAAGTGTTTCAAGTGCTGAGGAGCAAGGATATCTCCTTGAGGACTAAGGTGCGCCTGACACAGGCCATGATATTTCCAGTCGCCTCGTATGCATGTGAGAGCTGGACAATGAATAAGGAAGACCAAAGAAGAGTTGATGCTTTTGAGTTGTGGTGCTGGCGAAGAATGCTGAAAGTACCATGGACTGCTAAAAGAACTAACAGATCTGTCCTGGAGGGAGTGCACCCGAAATGCTCCTTGGAAGCGAGAATGGCCAGACTTCGTCTCACCTACTTTGGTCATGTTGTCAGAAGGGACCATTCTTTGGAAAAGGATGTCATGCTTGGTAAGGTGGAGGGTCGATGAAAGAGGGGAAGGCCTTCAACGAGATGGTCTGACACAGTGGCTGCGATGATGGGCTCAAGTATAGCAGGGATCGTGGAGCTGGCGCGGGATCGGGCAGTGTTTCGTTCTGCTGTGCATGGGGTCGCTATGAGTCGGAAACGACTCGACGGCACCTAACAACAACAGACACACTCTTTGGAACTATGAATTGTGGGAGAACAGAAGGGCAGTGTTTGCATAGGAGACAGCTCAGGGGGTGTGAGTGCATGGGAGCGAAGGACAGAGAAGAGGTAATTACAGGGAGGAAGTGGGAAGAGAGCTGTTGTTACACTGTGAGGAATTGCAGTCAATGTCATGAGACAAAATGTGTATGAACTGCTGTATGGAAAAGGAATTTACTCTGTAAACTTCCATCCAAATCACAAAAAAAAAAATGAAAAAAACAATGTGGCAAGAAATATATATAAAGATAATAAATATAAAGTAAAAGAAAAAAAAATCTTTCCTCCTGGTATTCCACAGGCCCTCCCACAGGACGTGGTGAAAAGGGCTCTCCAATCAGGGGCTACGACGGGTCACACGGCCACAGGAAGGGAAGCGAAGTCCTCACAGCTGAGCCAGTGAGCAATGTGACAGAAGAAGCCGGATGTTGTCAGAGATTTCATTTTACCTGGAGTCACAGTCAATGCCCGTGGGAGTCAGATGACATACCACACTGGGCTGATCGGCTGTACAAGATGGCTTCAAAGTGTTAGAGAGCAAAGCTGTGACTTTGAGGCCTAAGGTGTACCTGACCAAACCACGGTATTTTCAGTCACCTCACACGCACGTGAATGCCAGACAATGAATAAGGAAGAGAGGAAGAACTGATGCGTCTGAAACGTGGTATTGGTGATGAATACTGAAAGTACCATGGACTGCCAGAAGAATGAACAGATCTGTCCTGGAGGAAGTGCAGCCAGAATGCTCCTTGGAAGCGAGAATGGCCAGACTTCGTCTCACCTACTCTGGTCCTGTTGTCAGAGGGGACCAGTCCCTGGAGAAGGATGTCATGCTTGGTAGGGTGGAGGGTCAGCAAAAAAGAGGAAGACCCTCAACGAGATGGACTGACACAGTGTCTTTAACGAGGGGCCAGGCACGGCAGCAGGGGGACAGTGTTTCATTTTGTTGCGCAGGGGCCTGCTATGAGTCCAAACCAGCTCAGCGCCGCACATTCCCAGGAATGTTTTCCCACCGTCACTAAATAATGAAGCCATCGCCACTGCTCAGAATACTCATTTAATGGATATTTATGGAGGAGTCTGAGGGTGGGCGTAGCCTGACAGGGTCGCACAGCAGACACTCGGTAAAGGCTGCCTCAGAGGATGACGGGGCTCCCCTGCCCTGGGGGCGCCCACGCTCTGGCACACAGCAGGCACTGGGTGAGTATCTGCTGCATAATGAGCTGATGAGACTTGGTCTCACATTACGCTCAGCTGTCAAGTGAGGCGCAGACTCAACGGCTGCCACACCGGCTGGGGACCTATGTTCGTTATGACGTAATGACAGAGGGGCTGGGTCTGCCCCGGGTGACCGGCAGGCTGCTGGGCAGTGTGATGGAGGAAGAGCTTCGGGCTCCTGGCGCTGGCCTGTGACCTCCTGATCCCGGGAACCCCGTCCCCGCCCATCTCCAGACGAGCAAGCTGACCCCGAGAGGTGGTGTGGTTGCCCATGGCGACAATGCTGGCCGAGGCAGGAAGAGCGGCCCAGCCTCTGTACAGAACCTTCACTGCCACGTCTCCTGTCCCTCGAGGACTGGTCTGTGAGAAGGACACTCGCCACCTCCTGTGCCACTGTGTGCGGTGGCACGTACTCCGCCAGCCATCGGCGCCCTTGTTTAGAAGGCAGCGCGGGCACACCCGGCCTCTCTGCTGCAGACAGCCCAGGTAGGCGGCCAGGCTGCTGGTCCCCGTGGCCCTCCCACCCCCCGAGCCAAGGGCCCCTATGCGTCCTGCGCCTCGTGGGCCTCCTGCACCTCCACGTGGCTGTAGGCCTTCCAGGCCTGCAGGTTACAGCTCTTTAGGATGGCTCCCAGCTGCCTCCCTGGGCCTACCTCGAAGGTTTGGGGGAACTCGGTGCCCCTCCTCCTCTCGTAGATGGCGTGCAGCGTCTGCTCCCACTTCACCGGGGAGACCAGCTGCTTCACCAGCAGCCTCGGGATGTGCCTGGGATGCGTGTATTTATTGCCCAGGACGTTTGAATGCACCGACACCAGGGGCGCCTTCATGGTGATAGCCTTCAGCACCCGGGCCAGCGGCTCAGTGGCGGGCTCCATCAGGCGGGTGTGGAAGCCACCACTGACCGGCAGCATCTTCGTGCGTCTGAAGTCATAGCGCGAGGAGTTCTTCTGCAGAAACTGCAGCGCCTGGAACAAAAAGGGAGGAGGCCGAAGTGGAGGGCAAGCCGAGCTTGGGGAGAAACACGCTCGGAGGCAAACCCCACCCTGGCGGCACCCCCTCTGGTCCCGCAAGTATTGGGCATAGCGCACTTGTCCACGGGCTCCAGGCCTGCAGAGCCAGGGGCGAACTGCACTCACAGTTCCCAGTGAGATTCAGCTGTAAGCGTCAACAGTGTGCCAGAGTCCTGGAGGGACCCCACAGAGAAGAGGGCCGAGAGCCGCCTGTCGCCACCAGCTGCTGAACACAGCGAGCCACTTAAGTCCTCAGACTTTCTCATCTGCAGGACGGGTGTGATGCCAGCCACCTCACAGGGACTCTGGGGCGAGCCAGGCTGGAGACGTGAATGACGGATAAACAAAAAGGCTATGGTGTTGGTCTCTGATGAGAATCCTGTCTTCTCGGGACTCCACAATGTTCAGGGTAAAAATTAAGATGGAAAATCCAAGCCCTGCTTTCCAAGGCAGGGCCTTCCCCGTCAGAACCCTCGGGACATGGTCCCCCTCACCTGGAGTTTCTCCACAGAAAAGAGCCCTCTCCACAAGCCCGAAGCTGTCCCCTGAAGGCCACCTGGCCCAAAGGGTCACGTGCCAGCTGACAGGACAAAACACTCGGAACTGGTTGAACAACAGAGGATGTAATTTTCAAAGATTTTGGAAATAGAAGCTATTCTTGTAAAGGGAGCCTGTGACTGAGGACACAGCCCATCACCTGCCATGTGGGTGGCTCTGTCACGGTCTGCTGAAGGCCTTCTGGTGCACAGACACCACTAGCTCTGCAAGCCGAGTCCTTCCAGCCTGACACCAGCTGGCCCCCAACGAGCTGAGCCCCAGAAGACGCACGTCACACTGTGATCTCCTCGGTTGTGTGACTTCAGGCAACTCATCTTGTGCCTTTGTGTAAAGTACAGAGGACCCCATTTGTGACCTGGTGTGGTGGTTATGTTTGTGCGTCAACTTGACTGGGCCTGGTTGATTGGCTGGGCAGCTGGATGTAGTATTCTCCATGATGAGACTGGTCATCAACTCCATGGTGGAATCTACTGGGAGCAGCTGAGTAGCTGCCTTTGGGTATGTGGTCTGCTTCCTGTATATAAGGAGAAGCCTTGGGAATGGTCTCTAGCCTGTGGCACGCTTGGACCCTGCATGTAGCCATGTCGTTGCTCAGCAGCCTGCCATGCTCTGCTGACCTTGGGACATACAATGGACTTAAGTTAATGGCCTGCTGTGTGGATTGGTAACATCAGGACTGTGCCTTTTTACTTGTCAACCTTGGGGCTTCTTAGCCTCAGCAGCCAGCAGCTGTCTGAGTGAAGAAACGTCTCTAGCTCCAGAGGGCCAGGAGCAGGAGGCAGAGCTGGACCCCAAGGTGGAGGGGCTTTCACCCAGCCCCTAGAGCCTGGCACTTAGAACTTGGACTTAAAGCCTCCAAACTGTAAGAATCAACTCCTGCTTGTTAAGGCCATCCCATCTGTGGTATATATTCTTGTCAGAGCAGCATTAGGGACCAGAACACCTGGCAACCGTATTCCTTCACATGTAAGTGCCACACGAGGGCTGGCAGTTACTATCTACCACAACGGTCATGTCCACTAGGAAAAGAACGAAAAGACAGGGTGGCTGCTGTGCCCGATGAGTATTTCATTCGGGTGATGCTTGCTCTTCCGTGGCACCTCTCCCTCCATGAGGACTCCCGTCGGCCCAGGCTGTGCAATGACGTGTGGGCAGGGGCTCCTTCTGCTCTGAGTCTGACAGCTTCTGCAGAGGCAGGACCTGCTGCGTGGGCCCGGAGGGAGTGAGCAGAGCCCGCCCCGGTGAGCACGCACGCTGTGTGCAGGGGCCACGGAACTTTCTGGGCTGTTTGTCACTGCGACCACATCTAGCGGGTCCTGACTAAGGTGGTGCGTCACATCCACCGTCCCAGTCATCCACCTGCTCTTCACCGAGGGACATGCTCCCCCCCAGGGCCGGGTTCCCACCAGCCCAGGCTGCCCTGATGACTGGCATCTGTGTGGGCGGCTCCTCTCAGGCACTTCCTGTGGTATTCCCACGGCCTTGAAGGGCTCTCCACAGAAGGTCTTTGGACTCATTGAACATCTGAGCCAACTCAAGTCCCAGGTGAGGATCACAGGCACCAAAGCCATAGTCCTGGGCTCCAGCAGCTCCTTGGAGGGAGCTCTCACATGGACGCTGGTCTAGCCAATGCCAAGGAGTCGTGGTCACATCCATGGTTAGAGAGGATACATGGGTCTGGGAGATTTGCTCAGGGCCCATTGGTGCATGGAAAGGGGACAGTCTCCCAGTGTCTGCAGGGCTCCCTCTACCACACTGCCCAGCCCCAACCACTCCCCAAAGCCCATGGCTTGGCTGGGTACCCCCTACCCCACTGTGGCCCCTAGTTGTGGAACCATTCCATCCTTGACTCCATCTAACTACCAGAGCTCCACAGACTGGGGTCCACGGAGGCCGTTCCCATCCACACCAACCTCTAGGTGTCCGGAAATCACCCTGCAGTTCGGAAAGAGGTAGTTGGCCACCTCGCACACGGGGTTCTCTATGCCCAGAGCCTTGCAATGCTCCCGGGCTTCCAAACATGCGGAGGAGAACTTGGTCTGGGGCTTGCCGAGGACAGACAGCATCCCACTGGGGACAGCATCCGAGGCTTCCTGCATGGCCTCGGCTCGGACCTTCACTGCATACAAACCTACCCAGAGAGAAGGGCATTTGGCAAATTCAGGGCATGGAGAGGAGGAGGGAGGCCCAGACCCGAGAGACACAGGGCACGGTCCACACTGCTGCCTGGAGGTGCTGACCTCGGGGTTACTGCCAACCCACCAGGCCACAGTTCCACGTATCTGCACCACACACACACCAAGAGCTGCACAAAGGCACTCTGCATACTGAGATACAACCACCAAAACTCAGGGTGCTAAAAACCACCACCCACCAACGAGCCAGTCAGGGAGGCGTCCAGGGCCTCCCTCTACAATTAACGCAGGAGCTTCCTGCTTTCAAAACCGGTTTGGCGTCGGGCAGTGTCCTCAACTGAGGGTGACTGTGCCCCCAGGAGGCAGCTGACAATATCTGGAGACGTGTTTTGGTTGTCCCACTGACATCTAGTAGGTAGATCCAGGGATGGTGTACAATGTCCTACCGTGCACAGGGCGGTCCCTACCATGGAGCATTATCCAGTCCAAAGTGTCAGGCGTGCCACTGACGAGGCACGCTGGGGTGGGTCAAGAGGAACGGACGTTGAGCCACACTGCCCGGGCTACTCACATCATTGCCCAAGTTCAAACTTTCAATTAGTACAACAAGGGTAACAATAACCAGTCGGCCTGGGCTGCCGTGGAGACCAGTGGTTGCTAACGATCTGTCATTTAACAGCACAGCTGTTGAAGAGGAAACACCGTTGGGAAACGTTTGCTATGTGGGAGCTGCGCACACCACAGGGAAGCACATGAACTCAGATCTCACACCATCGCGGCTCCAGTATCACTGCCCACTTAGAGCTGGAGAGCCCCCCACACCAAGGCAGGCGGACTGACGGGGGAGGCTGTTGACACTGCTGTGGCGGGGGGCTGGTCTCCGTGGCTCACGGGGCGGGGTGTTAGTCTCCGTGGCTCACGTGCAAGGCAAGAGCACAGGGCCAGGTCTTAATGGCCTGTCAGGACCAGGCACTCACCACCAGTCCTCCTCTCTGGAGACCTGAGGAGGGGACAGGGGGGCTGACAGGCCATGGCGAGATGAAGGAATCGTCCAGCATCTGAAGGGACAAGCAAAGAGGGTCCACCCTCCTTCACGCCACACCCCTATGTCTGTACTGGTCTTTTGTCAGCCCCTTATACGGGTGTGACTGAGGAGGGTATGCATTAAGGAGCTATGGCAGGAAGCGGGCCACACACGAGGAATGTGGGGGGAACACGGGAAAACCCTCCCGCCTCCCAGGCAGGCATTAAAGAGGTGACTGTGCACAGATGTCCTGTGAAAACACCAAACCAGAAACTGCACAATGTGTATGAAAATCCTCCCAGATGACGTCATGGGTAACTACCCATGTCCCGGTCTGACAGGAGGAGAGAACAGAAAGGAGACCTGTCCTTCCCTTTTCCTAACAGAGCTGTCATGCCGCTTTAACACAAGCAAGAATCTGAAGTAAACTGACAGGGCTCAAGAGGACATACTCATGTCCCTCATTCAACAAGCATCTACCAGGCAGCACCCTCGGACCAGGCACAGGGCTGTCACTGGAACAAGGATACCGTGGAGGGGAAACAGCCGAGCAGGATCCCGTGACCAAAGTACAGAAGGAAATCCCCTGGTTTAAGGGAATCCCGGTCTCAGGGTTCCAGTGTCACCCCCACCCATGTGCATCCTTCCAAATACCCGAGTGGCAGTGGCCTGTGTCCCCAGCGGGCCCAGCAAGACCCCAGACGCCTGAAACCAAACCCCTTCCTGGGTACCTTCGGAAAACTCCATGGCTCCAGCAAACACCAGGGCTGCAAATTCGCCCACACTGAATCCAGCAGCAGCAACGCAGTTCTCGATGACCTGCAGCGACAAGGTGCAGGGCGTGAGGCCGGGATCTCGGGGCGGGGGAGGGGCTCTGCACCTGAGAGCTGAAGGGTGTGCGTGGGCTCAGTGAGCCGGGTCCCACTGGCCTGGTGCTCCAGCTAGAAGGGGACACAGAGTGGCCTTGGAGTCCACCAAGTCCAGTCCCTTTACTGAAGAGGGACTTCCTGGCAAGGCGAGGAGAGGGCAAGGACAAGGCCCCGCTGGCTCCTCGTGGTGGAGTCATGGCTTCCATCCAGGACCCTGGAGCCCCAGCCCACACTCTCTGTGTCCTGGAGCTGCGGCCCAGGCCAAGTGGAGCCCGACGGGGTCAAGCGTGGACCTCAAGGGCATGACGTTCAGGTCCCAGAAACCTGGGTTTGAACCTCAGCTTAGGAGAGTTCCCCGTCCTCCCTGCACCTCAGTCATCTCATCTGTGAAGTGGGGGAAGAGCAGCCTCCCTCCCAGGACTGCTGGCAGAATTAGGTGAACATGCAGATGACACAACCCTGCTAACTGAAAGCAAAGAGGACTTGAAGCACTTACAGACGAAGATCAGATACAGCCTTCAGTATGGGTTACCCCTCCACATGAAGAAAACCAAAGTCCTCACAACTGGACCAATAAGCAACATCAGGACAAATGGAGAAAAGACTGATGTTGTCAAGGGTTTCATTTTACTTGGATCCACAATCACCACCCAAGAAACCAAATGACGTATCACACAGGGCAAATCTACTGCAAAAGACCTCTTTAGTGTCAAAAAGCAAAGATGTCACTTTGAGGACTAAGGCGCTCCTTACTCAGGCCACGGTATTTTCAATCACCTCATAAGCATGTGAGAGCTGGACAGCGAGGAAGGAGAAAGAACCGATGGTCTGAACCACGGAGTTGGTGAAGAGTACGCACAGCCCACGGGCTGCCGGAACAAGCAAGTCTGTCTGAGAGGAAGTGCAGCCAGACGCTCCTCAGAAGGATGGTGACTGACACACTTTGGACATGGCATGGAGGGAAGGAGCCCTGGTGTTGCCATGGTTAGGTGCTCAGCTGCTAACCCAAAGGTTGGTGGTTTGAACCCACGGGCTGCTTTGTGGTAGAAAGCTGCAGCAGTCCGCTTCCCTACAGATTTACAGGCTCGGAACCCTAGAGGGTGGTTCTGCTGTATCCTACAGGGTCCCTATGAGTTAGGAGTGACTCGACGGCAATGGGTCTGGTTGCCTCTAGGTTGTCAGGGGGACTGATCCCTGGAAAAGGACATCGTGCTTGGTAGGGTGGAGGGTCAGAGAAAAAGAGGAAGACCCTCGACAAGACGGACGGACACAGTGGCTGCAAGAGTGGGCACAGACACGCTCGTGAGAATGGCACAGGATCGCGCAGCGTTTCATTCTGTGGTTCTTAGGGTCGAGATGATTGGAATCGACTGGACGGCACCTAACAATACCACCTTGATTCTTACTGAGCACAGAGCACAGGCCTGGCCCAGGGTACACAGTCAATGCTGTCACTAGACTCAGCAGGGCCTCATAACTAATGCCTTTTATGTATCCCAATCTCCTCTCCTCGTCTGTAAACTAACAGTACGGTCTTTACCCTGCAAAGTTATACAGGTGAAATAAACGGGCTAAGGGATCTAAAACGTTAAACTTTAGCATCAAGCACGGTTCTGGTTCCCAGTGCCACTCTCACAGGAATATACCACAAATGGGATGGCTTCAACAAACAGGAGTTTATTCTCTTACAGTTTTGGAGGCTGGAAGTCTGAATTCCAGGTGCCAGGCTCTAGGGGCTGGGTGAAAGCCCCTCCACCTCGGGCTTCAGCTCTGCTGCTTGCTCTCAGCCCACTGGAGCTAGAGCATCTCTTCACTCAGACAGCTGCTGGCTGCTGAGGCTGACAAGCCCAAGGTTGACAAGTGAGAAGGCACAGCCCGGATATTACCAAACCACACGGCAGGCCATTGATTCAAGTCCAGTAGGAGTCTCAAGGTCGGGAGACAGCACGGCAGGCTGCTGAATGAAGACTCGGCTCCATGCGGGGTCCAAGCGCGCCATAAGCTCTAGACCATTCCCAAAGCTACGGGAAGCAGATCACATCCCTAAGGCAGCTACTCAGCTGCTTGTGGTAGACCCCACCATGGAGCTGATGGCCAGTCTCATCATGCGGAATAACTACCACCAGCTGCCCAGCCACTCAACCAGCCCCAGCCAAGATGACACCATAAGCATTAAAAAAAAACACACCAACCAAAAAACCTACTGCCATTGAGTTGATTCCAACTCATAGCAACCTCCATTGGGTTTCTGAGGTGGTAAATCTTTACAGAAGCAGATTTCCCCACCTGCCTTCCACAGAGCAGCTGGTGGGTTTGAACCACCAACCTTCTAGTTACCAGTCAAATGCCTTAGGCAATGTGCCACCAGAGCTCCTTCCGTATTAAGTACTAATAGCAATCAATTTACCACTCTCAAGGGAAGCGACATTTTCAAAGGTAAACCTTAAAGTCACAACCCAGCCTGCCACTCCCCATCCCCTGGTATTTCTTCTCCTGATTGCTTATCTCTAACACACAGCATATTTGCCGTTCCCCTCCCCCTTATTTGTTTGAACCTTTTATTGTGATCTGGGTGAAAGTGTACAGACCAAATTCGTTTTCTATTCCACAAGGAGCTCTGGTGGCATCGTGTCTAAGGCACTTGACTGCTAACCAAGAAGGCTGGCGGTTCAAACCCACCCGCCACTCCTCGGAAGGAAGATGGGGCAATCTACTTCTGTAGCGATACTGCCTCGGAAACCCAAGGAGGGGTCGCTATGAGTCGGGTGCGACTCGATGGCACATAACAACAATCAACAAGTCATACAGATTCTGTTTCCTGACATTGATTGCAATCCCCACGACGTAGCAGCTGTCTTTCCACTTCCTCCCTGTGGTCACCCTTCCCCTTCGCACGTTCGTTCTTTACTGTCTGTCTCTCTCCGCTAAGAAGCAAGCGCCCTTAGAGCAGCGACCCTTGTGCACTTCACAGCGGTATCCTCGGTGCCGAGAACAGTGCCTGGCACAGAGGGGGCGCTCCGGCCCAGCAGGCAGGCGCCCGGGACAGCTTTCTGGCTCGGCTGCGAGAGCTCGGGAATGGCTCACCCTCCCGGGCTGCCTTCGGGCCTCACCTCGGGCTGCTGATAATGGAGTTTCTCCACCGCAGCCAGCGAGGCCACGAAAACGGCGGGCTGGCAGCGCTCGGTGCGGTCGAGGTCCTCCTGCGGCCCGTGCAGGCTCAGCTCCAGCAGGTCGTAGCCCAGCACGCGCTGGGCGGCGGCGTAGAGCTCGCGGACGCGCGGGTAGCGGAGCAGACCCCGGCCCATGCCCACCACCTGGCTGCCCTGGCCCGGGAAGAGCAGCACGGAGCACTGGCCCGGCGTCCGCCGCGCCACCGCCTCCCAAGGCGGCCTCCCATTTTCTGCCGCCGCCGCGTCCCGCAGCAGCTCGGCCACGTCCGCGGCGCCCGGCGGGGGCACCGGGAAGCTCGAGGCGCCGCGATGGCAGCCAGCGCCCCAGCCCCGGGCCCACGCAGCCCGCGCAACCCGGACGCTCATGGTGGGGGCACCTGCCCCGCGTACGTTACCGTGGCGACCGAGGCCCGACTGCGGCGCCCCGGCGCGGTCCTTGACACATTTCTTGCCGGGCGGGCCGGGGCACCCGAAGGCCGGAAGAAAGGTTCCGCAGCCAGATCCGCCCGGACGCTGAGACACTTTGCTGGCGCTCTAGGGGGCTAGTGAGGCAGGCTCAATGTATAATTTACGCTTTTTACCGAGCACGTGAAAGTCTTCCCCGTTCTTCCTCGCCCTTGATTATCCCAACAGTTGAAGTGCCTAAGGCATCTGACTGCTAACCAGAAGGTTGGTGGTTCAAACCCACCAGCCAGTCTGCAGTATGAAGACTGGGCAATCTACTTCCCTAAAGAGTTACTGCCTCGGAAACCCAATGGGGGTCGCTATGAATGGAAATCAACTCAATGGTAGTGAGTTTGGTTTGGTGGCATAGTGCCCAAGGCATTTGACCTCTAACCAGAAGGCTGATGGTTCAAACCCACCAGCCACTCCTTGGAAGGAAGGTTGGGCAATCTACTTCAGTAGTGATATTGCCTCGGAAACCCAAGGAAGGTCTCTATGAGTCGGAATCAACTGGGTGGCAGTGTGTTTTTTTTTTTTTTTTTTTTTGGTTAATAGCTCTATGTGGTAAGCAAGATACCAGCTCCCTTTTATTGGCTCTCTCATCACCATGTCTCCACCCTGTCTCCTTGGTTACCTGTTTCTGGGTGCATTCCACACTGGTCAGTGACCTTTGTGAAGTGTCCTAATACGGAGAAGAATCTGACAGTCTGGGCCTCATTTCTTGTTATTTAATTCCTCGTAACAGTGGTATAATGTGTATGCTGAAAATTTACAGACCAGTACATGAAGGCTTAGCATTTGGCTGCTAAGAAGTTCAGTGGTTCAAACCCACCAGCTGGCCCTCAAGAGAAAGATGAGGCAATCTACTTCAGCAAAGATTTACAGCCTTGGAAACCCACTGGAGGTCTCTACGAGTCCAAACCAACTTGATGGCAGTGAGTGAGACCCAGGCTCACAAGTTGAGTGACTGGTAGTAGAAGGAAGGGGATTGGAAATTGGGGTTACCCAGCTTCGTGAGGTCAGCTTGCAGGCCCAGGAAGAGAGAGTCTGACTCTGATCCCCACACCGACACTCACCTCTGCTCCTCCTTACTTTACTGCCGGCCTCTTCTGAGAAGCCCAGGACACATACACTCTCAGACACACACACACACACACACACGGGAAACAGAATAAAAACTAGACATCTTTGATTTCTCTTACACAGAGTCCAGAGTTAACAATAGAAGCCTAACCCCAAAAAATAGTAAAACTATTAATTTGTCTTTTCACCAGGAACTACTAAAGTACTTTGCAGCACTGTCAGGTTGTTTTTTTTCTGGCCTTAGAGAGTATTGAAAATAAGGAAACGGAGGCCACGTTTAACACAGCGGTTATATGTTCCCAAACCCTTCTGTGACAAACGTTTGTGAGCCATGCGGGAGCTCAGAGTTTATCTAATGCACAGTGTAACTTCAGGTAATGTCTCTTGATTCCAAAGACATGGGTACCTTTTAAAGACTATACCTCAAGATGTGTGCACATGAAGGCCCACCAGGCCAGAAACCAGCTAGAATCCTGATGTCAGCTGATCTCTGTAAGGGGCGCAGGGTTTAGTCAGTCGAGTTAGGATCTCCTCTTCTTCCTCCTCTTTATAAAACTTTGACACAGCTAGCCTAGATGGAGCCATTTGTTTTTTTTCAGAATCAGAATGGCCTCCCTAAATGCATGTAGAGTAACTGCTCAAATAAACCTGCATTTTAAGTTCTTTTGATTCTTTTTTAAAAAAACACATACCTTACAAGGAGAAAAACCTAGAGGGAGTCCCAGGAACAAAAATCAGACACAGGAGCCAAGCCCTACTGCCAAGACCCAGGGCAGCCTCGCCTTTGGAGGGAAAGGGTGGACAGAGCTGCGCTCCTGTGCAGGCGGCTTGGTGAAAGCAATCATCTATCCAATGCAATGCCTGCCCCACCATGAAAGATGCCAGGGAGGTTTTAGGGTCAAGATGTGAACAAAGCACACACTTCCTCCAAAAAGTCCATAAAACCACAGTCAAGGGAACTTTTAAAGACATTGATCCGCATGGACAGAAGCCAAGAAAGAAGATACCACAACAGACAGGAAGCTGGAAAGCAGGCGGACCAGTGTGGCCTGACGTGGCTGACCCCAGGCAGCCAAACCTCTGCCGGCAGTGGGGAAGCTGAGACCAACCCTCTTCATTCCGCAGCGTCTTCAAAAGCTGAGAAATGGCCAGCATGAAAGGGCCAATGGCTGGGAAAGCCAGGGGTGACCTGCAGTGCAGTGGGTGAATTACTTGGTGTGGTGGTTATGTCATGTGCCAACCTGGCTGGGCCTGATTGAGTGGCTGGGCAGCTGGTGGTAGTTATTCCCCATGATGAGACTGGCAATCACCTCCATGGTGAGATCTATCACAAACAGGTGAGTGGCTGCCTTTGGGATGTGGTCTGCTTCCTGTGTATAAGGAGAAGCCTTGGGGATTGTCTCTAGTTTGTGCCACACTTGAACCCTGCATGTAGCTGTGTTGTTGTTCAGCAACCTGCCATGCTCTGCCGACCTGGGGACTTACAATGGACTTGAATTAATAGCCTGCCGTGTGGTTTGGTAACATCGGGACTGTGCCTTTTTATTTGTCAACCTTGGGCTTGTCAGCCTCAGCAGCCAGCAGCTGTCTGAGTGAAGAAAAGCCTCTAGCTTCAGTGGGTCAAGAGCTGGAGGCAGAGCTGAAGCCCGAGGCTGAGGGACTTTCACCCAGCCCCTAGAGCTTGGCACTTTGAACTTGGACTTAAAACCTCCAAACTATGAGAGAATAAACTCCTCTTTGTTCAGCCATCCCATTTGTGGTATATTCTTGTCAGAGCGGCACTGGGTAACCAGAACACTTGGTATGGCTTTTCTAACTGTAGTCTTTGTAACTCCCACTGGATTACTGGGTGGGACCATGCAAATGAGGTATGTAAGAACTCTGATGTTGGGATTGGTTAGTTTTGTCACTCTGCCAGGCTTAAAATGAGCCCTCCTAGAGGGAGAAAGGGGATCTCACTGCCATCAAGAGAGACGAGCTGGAGGTGAAGTGGAGCCCATCCTTGGGCCCGAGGTCCCTGTGCTGGACCTCCTTGGTTGAGAGGCGCCCCAGCAGAGAGACGCTCTCAGTGGAACCAAGAGACACAAGGCAGAGCAGCAGGCTTACCTGGCCCACAGAGGCAGAGGCCAGGCCTAGAGGGCAACGGCCAGAGAGGCGTGTCTGAGGGCACAGCAGAGGGGAGACTGTCCTGATCGAAGAACTGTATCTTGAGCGCGTTCCCCAACTGGATTGTAGCCTGTTACTTCCCTAATAAACCCCGTAATCATGAGTATTGTCTGTGGGTTGTGTGTGGCCACTGCAGTGAATTATCAAACCCAGCAGATGGGTAGTGGGTGCTATGGGAGAGACGGTTGGTATCAAACTTGGTAAAAAACCTGGAGGATGGTGGCATGTCTGGCCTCATAGGAATAAGCCTTGGGCTGCTGATGGTGACTCTGTCTTCCTCCTGTGAAGTTAGAAGAGGTCAGAAGATGCCACCTACAAGTCCTCTTTTCAGAGGGCTAAGCCCACCAGCCACTCCTCGGAAGGAAGGTTGGGCAATCTACTTCCGTAGAGATACCGCCTCAGAAACCCAAGGAGGGGTGGCTATGAGTCGGATCTGACTGGATGGCAGTGCATTAAGGGGATTGGCTAGCTTGCTAATTATGTAAATAAAGTACATGGCACCCTTGTGGGGGTGAGGCTATGCAAATAAGGTGTATAGAATCCTAACCACTACAGGATCAGTCTGTTTGGTCATTCCTCTAGGCTTAAAGAGACACAGAGAGAGAGAGAGAGACAGACAGACAGAGACAGAGAGAGAGGAGTTGTAACAGTGAAGACGAGAAACGGTGGTGCAGCAGTAAGTTGCAAGAGCAGTAGTTGCATGAGATGGCAGGAAGGAACCAGGAACCCAGCCTGGCCTCTGCGTTGGGGTTGCCAAAGCACAGAGCTAAGAGTCGTGATACCCGGAAGGGTGCCGGGGCAGAGGTAAGAAGCGCCTGTCCTGATGAGGAGCTGTATTCAGAGTTGTTCCTGTGCCAAACCAAGGCCACTGAGTCGATTCTGACCCATAGTGACCCCCACTGGGTTTCCAAGGCTGTACATCTCTACAGAAGTAGCTTGCCTCATCTTCCTCCCTGGTGTTCCTGCTTCTAAGTTAATTACTTCTAAGTTAATCCTGATCCCAAGTTGTAGTCTGTTATTCTCTAATAAACCCCATAACTTGAGTATGGTCTGTGAGTTTTGTGTGGCCACTGCGAAGAATTCTCACCCCCAGCAGAGAAGGAGAGAGTGCCCTGGGTGGCACAGCTGGTGTCAGAATCGGAACAAAGGTTGGAGAGAGGACGTATGTCCAACCTCTGCCTCATAGGAATCAGCTTTGGGAGGTTGCTTGTGATTCTCCTTCCCCATAGCAAAGTTAGAGGAGGTCAGATGGCACTTCCATGCCATTCGTACAGTAGTGAAACTGTGGGACAGTAGAATTTCTCCATAGGGTTTCCCATGCTGTAATCTTCATGGAACCAGACTGCTACATCTTCCTCCTGTGATGTGGTTGGTGGGTTCACACTGCCAACCTTTTTGGTTAGCGGCTGAATGCTTAAACACTGCACCACCAGGGCTCCTCCCAAAAACAAACTGAACCCACTGCTATTGAGGAAAGAAGGACACACGGAAGAGATAACTATGGGGAGGAAGTGGGAAGAGAGCTATTACATCATGGGGATTGCAGTCAATGTCACGAAACAAAATGTGTAGGAACTGCTGTATGGAAAATGAATTTGCTCTGTCAACTTTCACCCAAATCACAAAAACAAAAAACGTAACACACCATGACCTAGTGAGACTCATACTAACGC